CCTATAAAACTCAAAAGACATTTTCTAAGGGCATGGATCCAAACTATCTTGCTCCAATTCAAATAGGATTGTAGCTAAAACTTTTCCATGCTATTGAAATCATCTGCATTCCTAGCAAGAGACAGAAATTAGGGAGAATCCCAAGTGATACACCTGCTTTTCTGAGAGAAAGAGGGAGGGAGGGAGGGAGGGAGGGAGGGAGGGGGAGAGAGAGAGAGGGAGAGAGAGAGAGAGAGAGAGAGAGAGAGAGAGAGAGAGAGAGAGAGATGCATCATTAACAACTGGAAAATTTCTAATTTCTAAACTTGGGAAACCCAGTACATTCATGTTATCTAAATTCATTTTTAGTCCACCAGACTTCACCCCTAGCTCTAAGCAACTATGAAGACCTGCTACAAAGAGAAATAGAGGTGAGTGTTATATACTGACACCACATTTCAAATGAGCTCTTCAGTGATGTCATGCAAATACTGAACAGCACAGGAGAATGATTAGACCCTTGTGAGACTCATAACATGAGATACAAATCTCCTTTCTTTGCTACCTAGTGGATGAGAGAGCAGATAATAAAAACAGACATGACTGCACATTGTTACTAGCTTTGACCCAATTCCACTTTCAAACCAATTGAGAAAAGCACTGTATTAGTTTGCTCTTGAATTCCTGCACTGCTATTGTGATAGGAGCTTTGAGAACATTATAAACCAACACCTTTCAACATGGGATGCTGAAGAGGTGGCAGGCAGAAATGATTTTTTGGGTGGTATTATGTGGATTTTATAAAATAACAGGAAAAAAATTAGTGGGAATAAGAAAGTCAATAGGCAGAGCCCACTGCCATGTCTATGAAACTAGTTTCTGTATTGTAGCTATTCCTTGCCATAATATTTTCCAGAGATGATCTTTCCATGGTAGAGACCATATGGTACATGAAAAGAATAGCATAGAAATTATTCACGTATGAGTCAATGTAAGACATATTGCTTACTTAATACCAAGACTGGGCTTGGAAAACAGTGTTTCAATGGCTTTGATTATTTCTGGGTGCTGTAATTTCAAAAACTGATAGCTTCTGTCACTCAGACTAAGGGGAGAAAAGTAGAGCTTTCAGAGCTCTGGACTTTATTTTTATTTTTTCTTTCTTTCTTTTATTATTCATATTTCTATGCTGCCCACTCTCTGAGGACTCTGGGCGGCTTACACCAAAGACAGTATACTAAATAGCATATTGCCCCCAATAATCTGGGTCCTCATTTTACCCATCTCGGAAGGATGGAAGGCTGAGTCAACCTTGAGCTGGTGAGATTTGATCCGCTGATCTGCTGAACTAGCAGTCATCTGAAGTAGCTACAGTACTGCACTCTAACCACTGCGGCTCCTTCAATGTCTGTGTGGATAATTTTGTAGTTTTGTCCTTTTTCTTCACCTAAATCTTCCAGGAAAGTGATAGGGTATCTCAGTTTGAATATGGATAGGGTATTGGAAAGTATGAGGAAAATCAATCTGCAATATGTGTGATAGGATCACAAAGTCAATTAACCTGGACAGTGGTGTAGAAGGGATTTTGCATGGGATTGTAATTTCCCTGAAAATTCTGATGAGAAACCTGGAAGTAGTCTTGGATATGATCATATGTGGAGAAGCCCATTTAATGGCATATATCAGGAGTACTTTTTTTTTTAATTAGTGAAGATAATTGCAGCCAGACCAAACCTCAATTATCCATGTGTTAGGTATTTCTAAATTGTATTAGCATAACACTTTACATGCTAATGCTTCTGAAACTGACTGAAAAATTGCAGCTAGGTGAAAATATGATTGACCAGATATTGGTACAGAAAGACATCTGCGCACCAGCTTAATCAGCTGTCTCTATGCATATTCAAGACCTACATGATTTATATGAATGCCTGTCTCCATCTACATTACCCTCCCTGATCACGGTTGAAATCAGCTTTGAAATCAGCTTTGAAATTGGCTTTGTTTGCTTCTCTGATTTGTAGGAGCATTTTTGGATGATAATACTATAATGGCTCCTGAGCTTTGAAACTACCTTTCCTTCACAATTTAGTGGCTGGGTTTACACTTGCCCGAAGCCATAATGGAGTTAGCTTTTTTGTAGCTCAACGTAAGATATGGATCTAGACATTATGGTTATAAATTGTGGCTTGTGTCTAATGTGTGCATCCAATCAACTCAGATAGTTTCTCCATCTTAATCTTGGAAATTGCAGGCTGCTGTCCTCAAGTGGAGGTGTGACTTGATATCATGCTTCATAAAAAAAAAATCAGCCAAGAGTGATAGGCACCATTACCAGCAAGATGTCAGTTGTTTGAAAAACTGAAGGATCGCCTCAGCTCCTGCCGCAAGAAAGGTCTTAAGAGGCTATTGGAGGCCTACTTCAAAGACTGGCTAATACACATGTAGCAATCACCTGCAGGGTAGATCATCTGTAGCCCTAAATTCATCTGTGAGAGCTTTCATGACATGTGTATTGTAACAGCTTTTGGAGATACCTGACATTATCCAGTTCTCTTGGTGAACATCTGCTTACACTTCCTGTAGTTTTAAAGATTTTAAAAACATAAAAGTCTTTGTTTAATGCTTCCAAGACCCACAATTGATTAAAATTGTGAAAAAACTGATAGTGTTGGATCTAAAGAAGGGACTGTTCATAATTCTTAAAGTTTGCCAACAACTAGATCAAAAAGGTTTCTAACTTTAATATCAAGCTGATCACAGTTGTTTGACAATCACAGATAAGTGCCATTCTAACAGGAGCTGCTGAGTTTAACGCAGTAATTAAAAGCTACAGGAAAGCTTCCAGTACCAAGAATCAAGACTCTTTTTCTTTGTGTATAGGATTAAAATCAAATGTTCTTATTACATTTGCTACATTAGCAGGATGCAATTTAAGGCAGTTCTTCCCACCTCTTTCATTTGCTTTTAATTTTTTTTTCTTCCTAAAGGCCATTTAGAGGTTCATAAATTGTATTTTTTGCTGCATGTGGTAGTAACTGCAACAGCCACAAACCTTTCTCAGAAACTACACACCAGAAGTGCTTAAAAAAACATTCCAGTATGCAACTAGAATTATGCTTTATTACAGTGCAGCAACATTTCAGGAATATTCTGGGGAAGAATAGATTGACATTGGTGGGAGGCACCAATGAAGCCCTACCATAACGTAACCTACCTAATACTTGAGGGAATCATATATCAGGAAGTGGTGGCTGATTGATGATGGCTTTCTCTGCTACATTGTCATCGGTAACTTTGATGTTTTTAATTGTATTTTTTTTTTTTTTAGTTTTTATGATGCATTTTTATTACCTCACATTCTGTGCAATGGGTGGCTACATAAATGTGATAAATAAATTCTCTCAGAAAGATCATCACCAACATTTAACTCTTAATTTCAGAAACTTGCGTTTCAAGGTTAAAAACATTGCCTGCACTAGTTCTGCATATGCACATAGAGTCACAATAAAAGCAGGTAACCAGATGTCTTTATTTGAGGCTGTTCTAGTACAGGAATCATTTTTCCCCAAGTATAAGATGTTCTGCAAAAAAGCAACCCACTTCACTGCTTCAGATCTGTTTGAATGCAATAAGCATTTGTCTTTAATTGTGTGAAGCATTTTTCCACTCCTAACGTTTGTAATATACTGTGATTTTTAAAGAATTATTAATATTTATCATTTATTTATTTATTTTTATTTGATTTTTTTTTTTATTTGATTTATATGCTGCCCTTCTCCAGAGACTCAGGGCGGCTTACAATGCATTAAGCAATAGCCTTCATACTTTTGTATATTTTTATACAAAGTCAGTTTATTGCCCCCACAATCCGGGTCCTCATTTTACCTACCTTAGAAAGGATGGAAGGCTGAGTCAACCTTGAGCCTGGTGAGATTTGAACTTGCAGTAATTGCAGGCAATTACTGCAAGTAATTGATGTTAATAACAGTGCTTTTAGTCTGCTGTGCCACCAGGAATTTATTGTTCTTTTATATGTTTCTAGAGTAGACTGCACTTTGGTACCCAGTTTTTTGGGTTCCATAAACACAGTGGAATTATGATGGGGTTCATTTAGGAAGAAAAATGCAAAGCACGATATATTACTCGCATGACAGCTCCTTTAAAAAAATAAAAAATAAATAACAGTCCAGACATCAACCTGGTTGCTTCCTCACTCCTCTCCAATTACATTACATTCTAAAAATGTTTTTAATTCATTATATATTTTTCTTAGTTCAGGAATGATGAAGCTATGTCCCTATAGACATTGTAAGATTACAACTACCATGTGCCTTTTCCAATGGCCACTGCTAATTGTGGCTGATGGTAGTTCTAATTCAAATCATCTGGAGAATAACTGACTGAAAAGCCTAATCTATAGAAAAGCCATAGAACTGTGATTTTTTTAAAGCTATTCTCCGATGGTCCTCTCTAGCAAAATGTCCAAGATCATTTGTGAATACTGCATTCATGCATTCTTAGTAAAGAATAGGGAAGATAGGAATGAAAGACAGATTATGGGCTTTGCCATTTTACTAAGATCCTCTTTTTATTAAGTTAATGCATTTGAATGTGCATCTTTTCCAGGTGCCTTTTACGTGCATCATTTCTGCTTTTCCTATATTTCACTAAAACAAGTAAATAGCCTGCCTCTAATGGTCGATCAAGAGGAAGAATGTTTACTGCATCACACCAATCCCAACCTCAGTGAACTCTAATGCAAAGTTTTTGCGCATTGCCATTCAGGGCTAATTAGAGAGAACAGTTTATTCAGAGCAAGTCTATCAAGTGTTTTTCTGGTAGAAGGCTTGGACCATGTATAACAGGATATAGATGACCGTATATCAGACCATATATCAAGAATCAGAGATGGTTTCTCATCTTCAGATCCTGTGAATCATCCTTCCAAATGCATTGTAAAAATTAAGGCTAGATCAGTCCGCAACTCAAGGGTCAGTAAAATCTGTGTAATACTGTACCTGTCTGCCATCTTTCTGGTTGCAGGCCTCGACTGTGACCTGTGAGCCAGTAGAAAAGGAGGTGATTGAGAGGCACTTGTCCTGCTGTCTGATTAAAGGGTCACTGAAAATCCACTCCTTTGGGGGCAGAAAGCAAGAAGAGAATTTAGCATAGTGTGATAGTACAGGGGTCCCCAACCCCCAGGCCGTGGCCCACTACTGGGTTGTCGTGGCTTATTCAGAATTGGGCTGCACAAGTGGCTGGCCAGAGTCCGTGCAAAGCTCAACTTGGAACCCAGCAGGCACTTGTATGTGTGCGCGCCAGCCTGCCACTTGCACAAGTCAAACTGCATGCATGAGTGCTGGCCCTCCGCTGGTGCGGCCCAGTTCCCCTCTTCTCCCCCCCCCCCACTCCTAGCCAAGCCTCAAAGGTTGGAGACTGCTGTTATAGTACAACATTTCCGCAATCATATCTGCTAAATCTATAGCTTTTGTTTGGAATAGAAAGCCTGACTCAAACATTTCCCCCTCTTAACATACAATTGCCTTTCAGCAGGTATCTGCCAGGGAAGGCAAAAAATGACATAAATCAGGAAAATGGCATCCCTGTTTTCAGAAGAATCTGTAATTGCAGCAGCATTTTTGTATTGTTGTTGTTTTTATCAGTGCTTGCAAAAAGTAATTGTAGGTTTCCATTGTTAACAAAAGCCCTCAAGGCTCTTAGGAAATCAGCTGTCTGCTTTCAAGGTTTATCTAATGCATTGACTAGGTTAGTGCTGGGAGTGAGTTGGTGGGAATAACACTTATTTATTTGTTTTATTACTTTATTACTTGTTTGCTACTTCTGTTCGCAAAAAAATCCAAATTGAATAAACAAATAAGTGTTATTCACAGCTATTCTCTTAATATCTACTCAGTTTAACCCTGAGAATGCCTTGAGAGAGGACTGGTCCAAGGTACCTTCTTATGGCCATCAGTGATCCCTCTACCAAATCACCTAGTTTTGATCTGCCTTGCTTTGTCTAAAAGCAAGAAATTGAACAGAATTAGATATGATAGTGGAATAAGAGCCTCTGCCTTGTATCAGTGGGGATGGAAAGATTCCCCTTGTTTGGAATGTGGTGCTGATATGCAAACTGTTAAACACATTGTGCAAGATTGCCCATGACATGCATTCTCTGGTTCCCTAGAAGTTATGCATGAAGTACCATAATGCCAGAGGTGGTCACCTGGGTAGCTTAATTGGATATCCAGTTATGAGGCCATTACTGTACCCCATAGAAGTTTTACTTAGAATTATGTGGACTGTGTATATAGGTTTATTTCTCTTCTATCATGTTCTCATCATACACTCAATAATAAATAATAATAATTCAATTTGGATGTCACCCAATGCCAACAGATCATTAAACCTGGCTAAAAATGATGAGAGAAAATGTTGCTATTCTATCAGTATTAAATAGAAGAACTATGCTGGTTTAATAGAGCAAGCTCAATTAAGCGAGATATTGCTGATGTTCTTGGCAGCTGCTATCATTTTAAAAAGCACTGTCCCATGGACTGGAATTGTTTACACTGTGTTTACCAGTATACAAATTGCTGTGATGCCAACTCTGCACGCACATAGAATAAGTATGTTTTAAATAAAATTACTGTGGTGAGTAGGGCAGTGATTTTTTTAAAGATGGTCAATATCCATATAAACCACTCAGATGATATTTTTAAAGGTCAGTTTTTGAGTACAAAGTCTTTTAAAAAGGCAAGAAACTATTTGCACATGTGAAACAGTTCAAATATGGAATGAGAGTGAAACCATGATGTCATTTGGAAAATACTAACTTGGGCACTTTTATTTATTTAGCTTTGAAGCTGCCCAACTCCATAGCAATACTGAACAGTCTACAAATAAAGAAAACAGTATTTCAAGAAAAAAAAATGTTTCTTAAAATAATATGGTACAATTCAAAATTCCTCACTTCACAGGGACCTTATAGCATTCTATTGACCCTGGACAATAGTTTGGGACTAATTAGTCTCCTGCAAAAAGATGGTCTCCTATCTACTAACAGAATGGGGGTGGGTGGGAAATTATTACTACTTTTTTATGGTAGTATACCACAAAGTTTTCATTCTCTCTATAATTGTCTATAACTGCACTAAATCAGCTCTGAAATGCTGCACCCTTTAACACTCTGGAAAGGTGGACTGGGGTCTATAAACACCGTAATGTTTCTTCTTGTCCTCTTTCTACCAATAAGAATATTTTGGTAGGAAGTGAGCTGGATCCATTTCATTTACCGGTCCAAAGATTTCAGTTTTCTTCATTGCCTACTTTTGGCAAAGGCTATACTACAGTAGAATCTGCCCCTTAATTTCTGGAGCAGAAAATAATCTTTAAAAAAAAAATCTTATATAATAGGAGAACATCTCAGCCAGTTTTTAATCTATTTCATCAGCTGTTGTCTATGGTGTCACAATATGCAATGGATCATTAGGGATGCATTTCAACACCCTTAACAAACCAAACAAGAGTAAAAGCCAACTTCATTGATTTATCCTCTCATCTAAAAACTATCCTTTCCCATAGACAATTCACATATGCTCTCTTTGTTTAAATAATTCCCTGGACATAGATACAGTTCAATGAACTTCAGCCATTTCAAACAACCACAAAATAGCTCAATCAGTCAAATGAAAGAGCACGCTGGATACTGTCTGCTCATTCATTCTCAACCATTAACAGATGTGAGGGAGCTTTTGCTGGCATCGGATATTGTATTGTAACCTTTTGCAAGTTGCTAGCATCTAAAATAATTCTCAGGAAAAAACCTAAATTTAGACAATGGTATTAATTTATACCATTTTATTCCATCATCCCTTAAACTATATAACTGTTTTATTGCTATCCATAAGAAATTGCAGAGACAGGAGCTAATATTTCAAGCTATTTCTGGATATTTTCAACTGACTTTTACTTAAATACAGTACAGTGATATATAATCTATTTGAGAAAAAAACTGAACTCAGATTTAGCTTAGTATATTTTCTAGACAATTTGTCCTCTTTTATTTCCCAACTTGATGCTCAGAGCTACCCCCAGTCCAATGCTCTCTCTGACTTTTTACACTTTAAATAATTCTTTTAATTTCTTTTATAGGAAACTGGCATGCTGCCAGCATAATTTTCATATCTAGGAATGCTTCTGGGCCCAAATGAGCTTCAAAAGATTTTTTACAGAATAAAAATAATGAGTAGCCGCATTTGGGTGCTTAAATTGGAAGTACGCTCACTGGCATGGAAAAAGGACAAAGATAAACAGAGGTAATGGAGAAAGTATCTAGAATAACAGATTGGGAAAATCTATTAAATGTTGATTTCTAATGGTTTTATCTTTCATGGCAGTAATTTTTGGAATTAAGTCATTTGTAGAAGTTCTATAATAAATTCTTAATGCTGCAGTCCCAAACGTTAGGGAATCCCTGAAGAATTACACATCATTTCAGGAAAAAAATCATCTTGTGCAGCAACATCTTTGATTGTTAATTTAAAATTGACATTTTTTTTCTTTAAATTTTCCTTCAGGAAGCACTGCCCTTGTAGGCATGTCAGGGAATCTATCTATATAAACATGATAAAGATAAATTCATACTACAGTCTTCACTGTTCATGTGTGCAAAGAACTACATAAATATTCTTAGACTATGCACTCATTTCATATTCTCTTTCTTCATTGACTGAGTTTTATAGGAAAAAGGTTGCATCTGAAACAACTTTAAGAAGAAAGATCTTGACTTTCAAAATATCATCATTATCATACTCTAAAAGAAAAGTTTTCCACCCCATCTAAGAGTCACTTAGGTGAGATGGGTGGCTGTACAAACTGAATATTTTTTAAAAAACTCCTATTCTACAATCATAATTGACTATAGCTTTCTTTCTTTCTTGTCTTGCATATCTGATGGATGCAGCAAGAACCTATTGTGTTATCTTGTACTTTGTCTTGAGGGTCTTCTAAATAAATATTTGTATCTGGGTCACCTCTAATTTGCTTTCCTATCCTTCCTCACAGCTTTCTTAATGCCACAGAATTGATCTTTGGTTGCCCTGTGCAGATGATATTCCTATCTTGCTGGAACACTTGGAATCAGATTCAGTGAGAGGCACACTAAATGGCTGCCTTTTTCCTTAAGCTTTATAGTGAATGGCTGCAGGCAATTCTAATTTTGTAAGCCGTCCAGAGTCAGTTGGTTGAGATGGGTGGCTATAGAAATTGAATAAATTAATAAATAAATTTGAAGGATTGAATAAAAATCAGCCAGTTTCATCTAAAAGTTAAAACATGGGGCCAGGCATGAAGAATTATGCCTGTTAAGTGAATTTTGTTGTATGGTTTAAGGTTAAAGTTTAAGGTTTATTAAATTTGTATACCGCCCTTCTCCCGAAGGACTCAGGGCAGTGAACAGCCAAAATTAAAATACATACAGTATAAAAATTAAAATAAATTAAAACAGAATTAGATCAGTTTGGCTTCCCCAAATTTTAAAACCCTTTACCCATAAAATAGCCCATTAAAATTTTAAACCAGCCCGGCTTGCTGAAATAAGAAGGTCTTCAACGCTCGGCGGAAAGTATGGAGGTCCAGGATCAGTTGTATTCCTGGGGGTAGCTCGTTCCAGACAGTGGGTGCCTTCACTGAGAAGGCTCTCCCCCTGGGGGTCGTCAGTCGACATTGCTTGACCGACGGCACCCTGAGGAGACCCTCTCTGTGGGAACGGATTGGCCGGTGGGAGGTTATCGGTGACAGAAGGTGGTCTCGTAAATTGTATGTGTATACTGTATATACTGTGTATACACGTACAATGACAATAAAGTTGTTGTTGTTGTTGTTATTGTTATGATGATGATGATGATGATGAAACCCTTGCATGGAAACCAGCTAGTTGACCACTCATTCTCTCTCACTTCTAAGAAGGCGGCAATGACAAATTCTGAAAATCTTGCCAAAAAAACCTGCATGGAGTTTTTTGCCCATGAAGTTGACTCAAAGGACCTCCATCTCACTCTCCCAAATCAGCAGATAGTTGATGAGAAGACAAGCAATGTCTATTCGGCGGATTCGAAAACGTTTCCAATTCTATAACGTTTACTATTCATATATTATTTTACCACAAGGATTCCATTTCATAACACTTCTGGGAGGAATTATTTATTTCTTCCAGGAGCTCAACCCAGCATGCATAGAATTCTTCCTCTACCTTATTCTCATATCAACTCTTTTGGGGTGGACTGGACTGAGAGATAGTAATGGTGCTAAGTAAGCAAGTAACTCTCCATGGCTGTTGGTGATCCTGAATGAGGGCTTCTGCAGTCCTGATTTGGCTGGCTGTAAACTGTGCTGTTCTTTACACTTTGCTTGAATAGAGCGCTGAGGCATGGTTGAGCGATTATCCTCAAATGACTAACTCCCTCTGCCAGAACTACAGATTCGCTGATGTATGCTTCAAATATACATATGTTTTCTCCAGGACATTCTACAGAGCAGAAAAAAAGGCTAATGGAATGAACTTTTGATGACCTTACCTGAGTAGCAACAGGATTGTTCACTGACCCTTTACAACTTCCAATCCCAGCTAGAGAATTTCCTGCGGTATCCTGGCCCTGAGATTCCAAGCAGTTTGCTCCTTGCTTGATGATCCCTGGAATCAGCTCCTTTTCGGGGACTCTGAGTGATTAGAAAGATCATCAAAGACAAAAGGAGAAATTATAAACAGCTTGTTTTATTACATACTCTATACCAGGGCTCTCCAACCTTGGCAACTTTAAGCCTGGAGGACTTCTCCCCTGCTCTATACCCCATCAAATCAATAAATCAGCCTTTCCAGACAAATAGCTTGGGCAATTAGGCCAAACTTCTCCAAAAGGAAGAACCTTGTCACTAAAAAATACCAGTGAAGAATAATGACCTGCATATGTTTTTGTAATGCATATAGTAATTTATAGGTAGAGGTGTTAATTAAAAACTAATGACTGTAATATAACTATTATATACATGTTATTTACAAAAATGAAACCCATTACTGAAATGTAAATATTATCTCTTCCTTTTTCTGATTCTTTATCCTAGAATGGAAATTCAATATATTGCATAAGGAAGATGGTGTCCAAGCAACCAGAGTGCCTTCTTAGTTTGCTGCCCACCTGTTGAATATTCATGAGAAATTTTCTCATCAGTTAGACTTCTTTATCTTAGAGTGGACATGGATCAAACAACTCTTCAAATAAAGGGCCATGAATAGGAACCATGGCAATCCTAATTATGTCACGTTCCCCCTTAAATGCATTCAGTGAAAGATTGCTAGAAAATGTTTTATATAACATTTTTTTTTGACATTGCACAAATTTACCACAAACAAATCTTCACAGACTTTTTCATCTCTGTATATATATGTGCCAGAGGGTTTAACAAGCTAATTAATTCTAATAACAAGGAACATTCTATAAAACATTGTTAGAACTATTTTTCAAGAAATAGCCCTTCTTCTTACGTGTGTGTGTGTGTGTGTGTGTGTGTGTGTACGGGGTGTTCAGGGAGGGGTATCAATTCTAATTGAGGGGCCTGCCAAATTTTTTTTTAGGGCTGCTTGGTTATCTTCAGCCCTCACCTGACACTCAGCTCTCACCTGTTGCTGCATGTAGCTATATCACATGCAGCAACCACAGATAAACTGCACAACATCCTGTTTTCTTCCAACCCAAAGGATTCCCACACAGAGAGAGGGAGGGAGGGAGGGAGAGGGAGAGGGAGAGGGAGAGAGATGGAATATACATTCATCTCATATTTTCTTTTTTCTTGTATGTATACAGTGTATCATTATTATTTTCTACTCTTTCATTCTTTGCTAAAGTAGGTTATGTATATTTCAAATCTGTCTTTAAATGTGCCTTTATTTAACAAATATATATATATATAAAACTGTTTTTGAAGATCTTATATTTCTTTTGCTGCCTGCAACCTGAGGTCGGCCTCTCTGCGCTGTCTACCAATTAGTTTTCCTCACATAAACTCTTTTTTCCAGAGTTCAAAGAAACCAAACATCGAAAATGTAAGTCAGACAGAGTATAATAGGAAGAAATATTTTTAAAAATAAATTCCCACTGGAACAGCCACATTAAGGAAATAGTTATACCACAGTGGCAAAATATATATCATGCAGTTTTGTTGAAAGGTAAAGAATGACTCACTTGAGTTCCGGATAGACATTCTCCAAGTACCATTGAAAGGATTTACAGTTCAGCTTCCTCCGTTGTTCCACTCGGTCTGCAATACTAGAAGCAAAAGTACCCTATATCTATCTTTATTGTAAGCATGAATAAAAGAGAATTGTGTGGCACAGCAGCACACAAGTACATTTGCAGAATAATGACAGACAGCACTGCTAAGGTGCAACCACATTGGAATCAATGTTGTGGAAGCTATTCAAAAACACATTTGCATAGTGCTTGCGCTTATAGAGTTGCCCATGCAAGCTCATTTCTTAATCTTAGAGCAGAGGCGGGAATCTTTTCCATCTGCCCACTGTTTTCTGGGGTTTTTTCCCCCCCACAACAAAAATAATTCTTTGTTTTTCTTTCTCCATTAATATTTTTATGGTCTAGAACAGGGGTGTCAAACTCGTGACCTGCGGACCAGATGCGTAACGCACTGGCCACACCCAACCCCAGTTTAGTGAAGGGGAAAAAGTCGCGATACGCCATGTGACAAAACGTGATACCACGAGTTTGATACCCCTGGTCTAGAAGATCATGTGCAAGATAAAATGTGTCGCAAAGTGACTGGATGGGTGACAGTAATTTAGCATGTGAAATGACAAGAATGTTGTCATTTACTTTTTTCTTTCTTTTATCAAAGTTCACTCTTAATGTAAGATTGAGGAGGAAAAGATCCTATTAAATGCTATTGACTCCATTAATAAGTATATACCAGAGATTCAAATACTGGTTTATCTGTCAATTTTGCCGTTCTTAATAATCCAGGCGATTACTTCTTTATTGTTTGAAATGTTGATGTACTATATCCATTACTGATTTGATGATGATGATGATGATGATGATGATGATGATGATAATGATAATGATAATAATAATAATAATAATAATAATAATAATAATAATAATAATATGTCTGTTTGAAAGGATACTAGTTGATTGGCTTTTTTACAGTGTGAGTTAACATGACTATAGAAATTTAAAACAGAGTTTTATGAGTAAGGTGTCAAAAGATAAATAACATTCCCTAGTAGCAAGACACATCATTGGAGTAAACTGCTTGTAACAACTGTAACATCTAATAAGGCAATATAACAGAAGCACTCCTGAGAAATGAAACACAAATGCAGCACATCATGTAGCTGCTTCAAAGTTGGATTGTTTTCATGAATTTTCCAAAGCATCTCTTCCAAATCATTTTCCAAGCATGCATAGTTTTAATGTTAATGTTAATTCTTAGTTTGGAGAAATCTTTTCAAAACTCTTCATTGTCCCTCTTCGTTTTAACCACTCTAAATAGTTTGAAATCAGCTGGAAATGTGGCCACTTACCTATCTCAGGATAAAATATGTTTAAAAGACAATAATGAAATAAAATAGCAACATAAATCCTATTGTTAACATCTTTCTTGTGAAAACATTATTTTTGCTTTGAATTATTTAACTGTTCACCAAGCTATAAATAGTTTTCTCCTCTTATTCCATGACTACTCAGTCCTAGAGATTTAAATAAGGAATTTGTCAAAAACTTTCGAAAGATCAAGTATACAATATCTTGTATCAGATCCATTGGGAATCAAGTGGCGTATGTTTAATAAATCATTATTCTCCTCAGAGAATGTAAAAAATTAGTGAGACAGGCTTTGCTTTTGCAGGAACTACACAGATTCTTCTTCTTCAGCAATGTTCAATAATTTAATTTTAGTAACTTCTTCTACACTTCCTTTCTTGAAAATTTTACATTTTAAATACTATTTGTGTCCAAAATACACATTTTTAAGTTAATTTTATTTTATAATGTATATTTTAAAACATGTTTTGAAGTATAAATCAAAACATATCTGATCAGTTACTGTCTGATTTGCATTTTAATCAGGGAGTTTCAGGACAATCAATTTGTACCATAATTCACAAAGAACAAAAGATTCAAAGATTCAACAATTCCATCTTCCTTGGAGCAATTTAATTGAAGTGGCTTATATCCTTACCTTCCAAATGACTTTCCAATGGCAGAAGGTCTGGCTTCATAATAATACTGTTTGTATTCATCCATCCATACCTCTGCTGTACGTTTGGTATTTCTACAGGTAGGACAAGATAAGCCCTATTAAATGTCATTGTTGGACAGGCCATCTTGCCCCAACGTGAAATCACAGCACATTTTCAGGAATCTGCTATCCTGCTCAACTGTCGTTATGTCATTAAACTTTGATGCAGGAGTAGAAATATCTCAAAAAAGTATAAACCAAATGAAAAGAAGCTGTCTTTCCTCAATGCATGAACAAAATAGACTCAGTGTGTAACATTTAAAAAGAACCTATCTGAAGCATTCTTAAAAATGTATGATGACTGAGGTACAAAGATAATGGGGTCAGGTATTCTAGCCCCATATTTATATCTTCATTTACCACTCAACTAAACCCTTATTCTTCCTGACCTTCACAAGAAAGTCTGAAGGACAGCTGTACTCTCATTTGCTTGAAGATGAGAACAGTTCCCTGATCAGTGATGTGGAGTACAACTCTTCTGAAACTTGAAGAAATCACGGAAAATAAGAAATAAAATATAAGGGTGTGAGGATGTAAGGAAGAGATATGTTCCATTTTCTACGAACTTTAGCATTTAAACTTCCAAACAGAAGGCAACTTAAAGTTCTGGATATACAGTATTCTATTTTTTTGAAATTCATTTTAACTTAGAATAGAATCATTTCTGACAAACTCTTGTACATTCAAAATCTTTTTGGAGGGACTGAGGAATACTCCTAACTAAATTTTGATGGGTTGCAGAAAAAGTTAAAAGAAATACAGCATCCTGTTGCACAAGCATACTTCGCATGTTAGAGTTTGTCATTGAAGATTATTTAACTCCAACAGCTAAGCACTTTTCAGTAGAATTCTTAACATGGAGAAAAGCAAACATATTGTGGATATCATGACAACTAAGGAATTCTTTATCTATTACTATCATAATAATCACAGCTCTGTTGCACATAAGAAAGATCTAGGTGTTTCAGTTATAGCCTCTTAACCTTCTTGCCTGCTCTGGGTTGTAAAGGTAAAGGTAAAAATTCCCCTCGCACATATGTGCTAGTCATTCCCGACTCTAGGGGGCAGTGCTCATCTCCGTTTCAAAGCTGAAGAGCCAGCGCTGTCCGAAGACGTCTCCGTGGTCATGTGGCCAGCATGACTAAACGCCAAAGGCACACGGAACACTGTTACCTTCCCACCAAAGGTGGTCCCTATTTTTCTACTTGCATTTTTTACGTGTTTTCAAACTGCCAGGTTGGCAGAAGCTGGGACAAGTAATGGGAGCTCACCCTGTTATGCAGCACTAGGGATTCAAACTGCTGAACTGCCAACCTTTTGATCGACAAGCTCAGCATCTTAGCCACTGAGCCACCGCATCCCTATTCTGGGTTGTAAGCAGTGCCAATTATGTAGCAGGTTTGATAAACTTTGAGGCATTTTACACCAAGGAGGGCTCTGAATGGTTGTTTGTCAGCGGACCTAATTGACTGCAACATGAAGACATGGCAATGGTTGTATTGACTTATCATCTGGTCTTATTTTTTGGACTTTACTAATAGAAAATAGGAAAGTGCAACATGTGTGTGTGTATGTGTGTGTATGGTTACTTAATGCACTTAATAACGACTGCTGTCATAAATATCAGTAGTTATTATTTTTCAGATAGTTCACAATATCAGCAGTAAATGAGGTTTGTAATGATATTTCTGTAGTATTCTAGACCATAGCTCTTATATCTACGCGCAGATATGAACATCTGTACTCCATTATAAATCTTAATTTTGGATATGGTATTTTTACATTAAATGAAGCTCAGTGTCAAATCCATATCATCATTTCTGAACTGCTATTTAATTACAGAATTCTGTATTAGATCCATATTTCTTCCAAGTACACAATGGTTAAGCTAGTCTCCAAATCCCAAAGTACAGTCTCCGCAAAAATAATTGGGTCACAGTTTTTTTTTAAAAAAATTTCTAACCATCAGGGAAGCTCTCTTTGCAAGCTTGTGTTATTAAAACATAAGGGACAATATTAATTTGGTTAGGATTAGTCAGCTAACACAAACATTTTTTGAGTTTATATTCATATCCCAGAGTAAAGTATAATTAGTAAAATTCTACTAATAAAATAAATATTAATAAAATGAAAAATTAGTAAAAAAATAAAATAAAATAGAGAGAGAGAGAGAGAGAAAGAGAGGGAGGGAGAGGGTTGGGGGGGGGAGAGAGAGAACTAATGTGTTGCAGTGTTTTAAGATTCTGGCCCAGAAACCAGGAGGCTATGAGTTGTAATTTTACTCATGAAAGCCAGCTGGATGACTCTAGACCAGTCTCTATCTCTGTCAGCCCAACTCACCCTTGTGGGGAAAATAGGAGGAGAAAGGAGTATTATGAATATTTGCCACCTTGTATTACTTATAAAGTAATAAAGACAGGATTTTTAAAAATCTAACAAATAGGTAAATAAAATACACAAAGGGATCTCTGACCAAACACCATACTTCAGTGAGAACTAAAGAAAGCCCCCTCCACCCTCCTGTTCTCTGAACTGGAATCGAGAATTAAGCCATTCCTACTTGATATAGGTTAATGCATTGCCCTCGGGGAAGTCATATGGATGGCGTTTTCTGAAAACGTGACCCACTCGACTGCAGGGGACAATCTCCAAGCTACCTCCGCACATCCAGACACGGAAAGAAAGCTCTAGGAAACATCCAAGGAAAGAGAATATAAGGTGAAACGAAGAATAACCATCTACTTAATGTGCAAGTAGGCATGGAACTCTTAACATAAAGAAGAAAATCCATAAAAATTTAGATTGGAGAGGAGGAGGCTCCATGCGCAAGTACAAAATAAGAGGCAGAAAATGTGAGGTCTTACTGGCACTGACAAAATTAAGTCAAGACAGAGTTGTTACAAAGACCTATGCAGTCCCAAGCAAACCATTTCAGCTGTATGTATCACTGAGACTGAAAACCCGAATAAAAATAGTCAGAATTCTAGAGAAACATGTAATTGACTCTAATTTTTTTTTTTAATTTGATTTATATGCCGCCCTTCTCCGGAGACTGAGGGCAGCTTACAGTGCGTTAAGCAATAGCCTTCATACTTTTGTATATTTTTTATACAAAGTCAGCTTATTGCCCCCACAAACTGGGTCCTCAATTTACCTACCTTAGAAAGGATGGAAGGCTGAGTCAACCTTGAGCCTGGCGAGATTCGATCTTACTTAATTGCAGACAGCTGGTGTTAAATTACAGTGCTTCTGTTTGTTGAGCTAAACCAGGCTCCTGGTTTAGTGGTTTAATCAGTGCTTAGGGGTGTGTTTGCAGTAATCAAGTTTCATGCTCTTTAAAGTCTTTATAGATTCCTAATATCTGGGCAGTATTATAGGGATGGCAAAGTCTGGCCATCATAATGAGCTCCTAAATCTGTGGAATACATCTCTTTACATAACATCCCTGTGCTTTTCATCTGTTACAGGCTGAAGCTGAAATCTTTTGGCATGCTCTTACTGTAGGATCCTAAGCTCTCCTAAGAATCATCATTTGGCAATCTAGATTCTGAGACACAGCCTCATCCTGTTTATTCAGACTAAAGCATCCCTATTCCCCAGGCCCTTTTTACTGCCCCAGAATGAAGCTCAATTTTTTTATTATAAGGGTCAGAGGCCTACCAAGGCTTTAATGGTTAAAACTCATTTGAATCTCAGAAAAACAGTGACCTCTGCAAAGGTCCTTTGTTTAATAAACATGGAAGCTCACTGTTGCTTACTGATTTGGGGGTACAAAGAAGACAGCAGAAAAGCTGCAGCAAAACAAATCAGAAACTGAAGGCGACAGAAGAGGGGGGAGTCCAATAACAGGTTCCCCAGCTCTCTATCAAATTCACTCTTTTATTGCACATCCTTGTGTCTTGTAGATCTCATCTTCAGATATATGGTTGGTGATCATAATATCTACCACTTCTTTGTAGAAGCTGCATAATATAAAAATCCAGAGGCAGTTGCTGAGGAATGTGGCTAGTTTTTATCAAGAAAGTAAGAGCTTTCATTTCAACAAAGCTTATTTCATAATCTGGTTTTAATGAATTTATCTTGGAACTATTTATCTGTTCGTGCTGCTCTATCTTCAATTATTTGAATGGTTTTAACTAGATTTTATTATATCTAAGCTTGACTTGTATCCAGGTCCATATTTCTCCAGTTCAAAATATTAGGGTTAGGGTTGTAAAGTCCCTAGATATCTTTCAATAATGTGCATTTCTTTGTTCCATGTTTTTAGTTTTATCTAACACTACTAGGATAAAATATGAACTTAGTAAGTGAAATATTTAATGTGAGACTTAATTTACAGTTTCAAAAGTATTTTCTTGTAGACCCTATCAGTAAATAAAGCCACAGGCTTGTTATCTAGGATAACAAATAATGCAGATATTGCCAGAATGTCATTTAAGAATGTGTGGAAATGTTGACTTACCCAAAGATCTGCTGAGAAGGCAGGACTGATTCTATCTCTATGCAAGTAGATCCTGAATAAAGGCTGTGTTTTCCGTGCTTCCAGTCAGGAGAAAATATTATATTATGTGTCCAGGATTTCAGAATTGATTTGTGAAAAATTGACAAGAGAAGGCTACATAAAGCCAAATCAAAGTAGTAACTTACCAAAGTTCTCTCCTCCCCAGATATCCATCTGTGTGTCATATTTTCCAAGATGGTTAAACCAAGACTTATTTATCACAAAGATTCCTCCTGCTATGACAGGTGTTCTAGTAAAAATGACAGTGAGGAAGTGCAAAAGGTTATAAATAAAAAATGCTAGAGTGAAAAACAGAACTCTTCTACATTTGTAAGCAACATATTCTGTATAAAATAATTTAGAAAAATAAATAAAATAATTGGAAAGCAATAACTTTCCTATGATCATGTATCATGAAAAAGCTGTAGGACTGTAATATTTTCATGATCGTTTTACAAAAATGTCTACTCTGTACTTAAATAATCTGCAAGGAGGTGTCAAAAATGGAAAGATGGCGGGCATAGTGTTGTGATCCTAACACCACTCATTGTGTATGTGCATGCGATGTGAATGAATGTACAAAAAGTGCAGGGCTTGGATCACAATATTACAAATTTTCATTTTGCAAATCCCCCCAACTTCTGGTTTTAAATATATATAGTGATCGCTTAGTTTTTCTTTAATGAGATTTTGGGGAAAAGTTTGGAATTTTTAAAATCACTTTAATTATGCAGAGAAGACAGTTAGTATTCAGTGTGGCTCATTTAGAGGCCCCTGTAGCTAATGGAAACAGAGCAGTCTCCATCAAAGGGGATGGAAATTGAGAAAATCACACAGTCTCACAACTTGTTCCTGGCCTGTTAAAATAATTAACAAGTCAAGTGAAAATGAACTGAAGGATGGTTCCCAATTTTCCACATGCATATTGGGGACATAAAGAAATACTGCTTCCTTTGCTTACTAGTGAATTCTATGAGAAGGAGGAGACCTCTTCTAAGGGGAGAACAGATCACTTCCACTCATCTCCACTACACAGAACTCTAGGTCAGACTGGTCCATGTTTGCAAAGTTGACCAGCAAAAAACAAAATTGGCTAAAAGTTCCTTTATATTTGGATTGTAGAAACTGAGAGCGCTATACTTGTCTGCTACATTTTCTCAAATTAGACATTCTAATCCTGCCATATATAAATATATTTGAAACACAGTTTACATAAATGTAGGGCTAGGTGTTATTGCTATTTGAATATACTTGCAACATATTCTTACTGTTCAAAGAAATCCTAAACTTAGCTAGACTTCATGGCAGAGGTGGGTTTCAGCAGGTTCTGACCAGTTCTGAAGAACCGGTAGCAGAAATTTTGAGTAGTTTGGACAACCGGTAGTAAAAATTCTGACTGGCCCCACCCCCATCTGTCCCAGATGATCAGGAGGAAATGTGGATTTTGCAGTAACCTTCCCCTGGATTGGGGAGGGAATGGAGATTTTACAGTATCCTTTCCCTGTCATGCCTACCAAGCCACGCCCACCAAGCCATGCCACACCCACCAAGCCACATCCACAGAACCGGCAGTAAAAAAATTTGAAACCCACCACTGCTTCATGGTACTTATCTACAATTTGCACTATGCTTTAAATAGAACAAGCCAGTGAATGTGCAAATCAACACAAAAGCCCTGTGTTGATGAATTTGTCTAAATCTTGAAGAAAAGCTCCTGTGCTGGAAGTAGAAGGTAGATTCTATTCCAATTTGTAGCTTATATACAGCCTGGGAAAAGATCAATTAAATGCACATATTTTTTTCAAACAGGCACAGTAAAATTTCCCATATTAAACAAGTACAATCTATAAAAACCATACACAGTTATACAATAACCAATATCTTGCTGTTATTTTAGAAGTGCAGTGGGGCCACCAGACAGAATCTCAAGTAGTCGTCAAGAATTTCAGGAGCAAATCGCATCTCATAAGTGATGTAAACATAACTTCTGAATGTTTCTCATGGTTACATCAACCAGTGAGACCACTTCTTATATTAGATAAAAGATGAAAGATTACATCTGAACTGGGATTCCAAGAGGAGCTTGCATGAAAGAATTTACCTAATAGATTGGGTAGGGTCTGTCCGGGACAACTTTTGCTCAATGGGAATCTGTTCCCATTTAAAATGAAGACTCCAGTCAAATCCTAAAATGTAGAACATAAAAACACATAGAACCTTGTATGCAGACTTAAAGATTGACTAGCATAGCATGACAATTAGGCATTTTTATTCCTACACATATGAATCCAGAGCAGAAAAAGCCTTCTATAGGATAGTCCTATGCAGATGATCAGCCTGGCTTTAAAGAATCACAGTAAGTACACTCACTGGTATTTATCTGTGCTCGGTAACATTCCAAACTTCCTATATTGGTTCTCAGAAAGAAAGGCAATCATTAGTGCTTTAGCTTTCTATTCAGGTTGTCCTATGCCTCATTGGCTGCCAAAGTTATGAGACATTAATCAGTACTCTCAATGGGATGACATGTATTTCCGGGAACAAAGTGTCTCTGTTTGTTGTAATTGGCTTTTCCCCATGTGCACCACATAAAAATGCCATCTGACTTACAAGTGTTGCAAATTGAGTATATCCGGTGGGAAGGACGTGACTGGAGAAAGATGCATGCAGGTGAGAATTGCAGAACTGAAAGGCAGATGTGCCTTGGCAAATAAAGAACAGTGAGGGAGATTTTCAAAAATTAAAAAAGGTGCTTGAGGCACAGCAATTCTTTTAGGAAAAAGACTGAGTGCTTGGATGTCCTGCAATCCAGCACAGTGGAGCCAACAGTTGCATCTGAGGCTAATCTGCACAAGTGCTTTATCCTGGCAGTGTGAAAACTGGCTCATATGATGCATAGAAGGCAGTTTTCTGGCATAGTTTTCCTCAATATTTTGTTTTCTTCCTTGACTACTTTATGATTGTTTGGTGGTCAGCTGAAGGTTTTGTGTGCTGCTGAGAAAATGTCTTATGGTGTTATCACTTGTTGGTGGCTCTTTCTCTGCAGCTCTCTTTTTTGGAAGTCTAAGTAGACATTGCCTGGGTTTTTATATTCCCATGATAGACTAAAGGTGAGCCTAATTTAGCCCTATGTAAAATTGTATCTCTTGTGAGCAAAATCTAATTCCTGGAGTGAAAGCTACTTTCACCCTTTTTGAACCCTTTTTGGTATTCTTATAACATATTAACTACTTACCCCCATTGACTTAGTTATGTGTTGTGGGCAAAGGCCATATAGAACTATAGACTGGTTACTTTGTGCTTGCTTTTGAAATATGCATTTGAAATTAAATTTCAAATTGCATTTGAAATTAGGCTGTATCCATGGACATGTGCCCATCCAACAGCAAGGAGAGTGCTTGCCTAAGAATTTGCTCATCCTTTGAGAAAGATCAAATATCAATCTCTTTGACAAAAAGACCAAGTATTCATAACATGACAAGAGGAAGGAGGAGGAGGAAAACAGTAAGGTATACAGGTGCACACATACTTACCTATCAAAAAGACTATTAAAAGTATTGAATGAAATGTGAATGGTTGTGCAATATATTGAGAAATAATACCTTATCTAGAAAAACAGCAGAAACATCTAGCATGTATGTAAAGAGAATGAGCAGACCCATCCAATCTGTTGCTTTAGGTGGCTTTCAGAGGTGCCCCGAAAGAGCAACAAGATGTTGGAGGTCATTTATGTTTAGAAATGTGTCACTGTCCTTTTGTGCAGCTCTGACTTTTGAGGAACCAATAAATTATTAATACTCTGCTTTAAATGTTATCAATAAATACATTTAGATTTTAGCACTCCGGTTGACTCTGGTTTATTTATTATTGGCCAAATGACACCGCATTTTAATGATTAATAATGTTTAATTTGTAATGAATTTTAAATGCTACATTATTAATATTATTGGAATAAAATGCTTGATTTATCATATTTTCTTACGAAAGAAATTAGCTTCTTTTTAATGTAATGGCCTTGGTCATGTGTTGCTATTGAAATTTTCTTTTTCTTATATTACTATTCTTATGATATGGAAAAGAAGTGATTAGGAGAAGAGCAGCAGCAGCACAGCAGGAAAGACAGATGCAGCAGTGACTAATTAGGAAGTTGTGCAAACTGTGATCCCTGTAAGGCTACAGGGGTGTACATTCTCTACAGCAGGGGTGTCAAACTTGCATCGTCACAGCGGCGTCACGTGACGTACTATCGGGACTTTTCCCTCCCTTGCTAAACCAGGTGTGGGAGTGGCCAATGCGTGATGCATCAGGCCAATGGGCTGCGAGTTTGACAGCCCTGCTCTACAGCCTGTTGAAAGTTACAGCTGTTATGAATCCAACAAACATATAAGCTAGGTCAATATTAACAGCCGGGAAAAGCATAAGTGTAATACCATTTAATATCAGTGATGCTTCCAATGTGGCTTTTATTGTATCATCGCCCTGTCTTGTTCAGGGAATTGTATAGGGACTAGATTATGCTACCTTCCATTTATACATCTCATACATTTATCCAACCGATTGTCTGCCTCTTCTTGTCCCACAGAAAATCAGTTCACAAGCATACAGCAGAATACTTGCACATACTTGAATACTTGGACTACTTAGCTGGAAGTGCCTCAGGAGATAAAAGGAATCTGTCATGGGGCTGATTCTCAGCGATAAAGACCCAGAAATATCATATTTCAGAATCAATTTATTCTTACCTACCTCCTCTCAAATCTGCTGATGCTGCTAGATAGGCAAAATTGTCCAAGCTGATGACATCAATGATAGGACTCACTACTCGAGTATAATCCTGAAAAAGTAGGGGGGAAAAAAGAATGTTGGATTTTTTTTTCTGAGAGGAAAGTAATGTTTTAAGTGGGTTTTAAGATGAAGATGATAGAAAGAAAGAAATGGTTGAAGTGTTACCTCCAGGTTTTTAAATTGATATTCACATACACAACTGCAGCCCATAGCTTTTTTTCAATGCGAAAAGTGAAACTTTCACAGTGCAATTATCGTTCTCCACTTTCAGGCATTAAGTACAGCACACCATTTCAAAGTTGTATTGATCAGAGGGACTCTCAGATACTGTTAATGTTACCTCTTGCAATTGTCTAGAAAAAGTGTTGCTAAAGTAGAGGAGTAGACAGCCTGGTTCTCTTCAAGTATTTTTTTAAAAAAACTATAATTCCCATTGATGCCACTTACCGAATAGCAGGGCCAGATTTAGATGAAAAGAGGCCCTAGGCTATTCCACTTATGAGGCCCTTTCACCTATAGTGAAAGTGTAATTTTAATTTTGCTAACAATTTGAATGTAGGCCCTCTTGATCTTGAGGCCCTAGGCTGAAGCCTAGTTAGCCTATAGGAAAATCCGGCCCTGCCGAATAGGCAGGAATTTATAGTGCAAAACATCTCAGGTTGCTTTCCCCTCATGCTAGTTTTTCATGGAGAAATCTCCCAATTTTACACTTGAACTATATGCTGATTAAAATACTTCCTCAGGCTTGTTTTTTTCCAAGTTGTTCATTAAGCCTAATAATACCTAATTACTCATCTTCTCTCATAGGATTCATGTATCTCTGACATTGTTCTCCAAGGGTGTGCCCACATCACCTAAGAATGTTCATACCCATATCTATGGCATATGTGCCAAGAACAGCTGGTGTCATTTCAGTCAGCCAACTCACACCCCTCCCATTTTATTATGGGTGCTGGAGTTGATCACCAAAAGTCAGCAAAGCTATTTCCTATAATTTTGAAGCAGGAAACTCATAAAAACAATTGTGATTTCCACAAATGAATTCCACATACGGCATTTTCATACTGCCACCGTTTCTCCTTTCCAACACTGTTTATTTATCTGCTGATTCAAGGAGGCCGAGAAACAAAGAGCATCAATCTATGACCCCTCCCCAGCATGTCCTGTAGCAATAAAATCCATTCCCCTCATGCTACAATAAGGGAAAGGAAAAGAAATTAAAAAACCAGCCAGCCTCGCAGTTTGAAGAAGCTGGTGCATGGGTGAAAAGCAAGAGAACCTTGCCTTGTTCAACAAAACCTTGTCAATATTATTCCTGCTGGCTTCATCTGGGCTAAGGGGGACAGAACAAGACCCAATGAAGCCAGGATTTCTGAAGCTGAAAAGCAACATAAAGAGCCAAGCCACAAATTCCATCTAATGGTAAAATGGTCTGCCTTCAAGCTCCAGTATTACAGCTAAAAATCAGCTTCCAAACAGCACTTCTTCACAGCTGAAGAGAGATAATGACAGAGGTGTGGCGCTGATCTAGGTTAATACTTCATGGAAGTGCCCATTATTAAAACAAAAACAAACAAAAAACATGTCAAGCAAAAGACACTGAAAAAACAAAAATATAATTAATTCCAGGAAATGTGTGATAGACCCATTTTTCATCCTGGTCACTGAACGAAAAATTATGGAAACCCAAATTATTGGATCTTGTTGTTCTTCAATATATTTTAGTTAGCTCCCTAACGAAGGCCCTAATTCCAGGTTTTGTCTTTGCAAATTCATTCTTGTCTCTTCATTTTTTTTATGTTTCAGAAATGATAATATCAGAAGTTACACTGAATTTATAATTATATAATGTAATCAGAAATTCTGTTGATTTTTTTTTTAGCAGAAAAAGTATAATTATAAGAAGGTCTGTCTATTCATGGATAAACAGCCCAATTTTAAGTGATAATTCACAAGCACTAAATTCCACTTCTGTGGTGCAAAAATAGCATTTATCATTTTATGAGTGACACTAAGATACTCTGAAAAGTTTCCTTGTAAAAAACTAATCAACACAGCAGCAAGGTGTAACTTTCTTCTGTCAGAGGATTTATTAATGAGTAAGTTCTTCAGCATTCTGGGGAGAGATACAAATAAACTCTGCTAGGTTTGGATGCAACTTGTTGAGTGCAAAGTAGAAAGAACAGAGAAATATAGGAAGAGACAAAAATATGTAGTTATTTCTTCTTGTTCAAAAAAAAATTCTTTGCAAGAGAATGGCAGTAGAACATATTACTACACACATGATGATCAATACAAGTCTGGTAAGCTTTACTGTCAGCATCAGTGGAATGACAATTCTGGTTAGACAAGCCTGCTTAATGGGCTTTTGTTTTTCTTAATCCACAGAAAAGATCATCATTTTTTTACAGTTGCACCATTTTACAGTAACTCTTTTTGTAGACCATAAATTTTCTGTATCTATTTTGTCCATGGCTTCAACTCCATTTTTCTTAATGCTTTTATTTTTTGGCATACACAGGCTTTTAAAAATTATATTTCCTCGACAAAAGCCCTTTTAAAAATAAAAATACTGTACATAGTTCAATAGTGTGCTTTCTTTTCATATTTTTCTTGTTAACTTTTCTTTGGGGGATTTCCTATGATGTTAACATTTATGCCACCACAAAGTTTGATGAGGGCATGCAATGGAATCTAGGGTGGAATTAAAAGAATTAAACATCTCTAGAATATATAGTCAATAAAGAAAAAACTCAGGAGAAAGTTCAAGCTTTATTGGAACTCCAATAGAGTTTGCAGCAATTGTATACTACTTCAGTTGACCTAATAACATTGCTTAGCCTGAGTGCTTTGTAAGTAAAAAATCAGGATTAAGCATTTGAAATCCATAAACACAATTTAAATACTTTTACTATCGTTGTTTTTCATAGCTCGATTTGGGATTATATAAACAAAGGAATGAGCAAAGGAGTAGAAACAGGTATTTATCTATTCTTCTAGGTTGATTCATTTTTTGTAACTTTGCCAGATGTTAACTTTTAAACATTATAACTTTTGGAGCTAAAGAAAGCACTGATAAGGTACTGATAAGCTGCAAAAGATCTCAGTGCTAATTGATATGGTGTCCAATAGAGACCAACTTGAAAAATAATGGTCTTAAAAATTATGTGTAAGAAAAAATTATCTTAAAAAACATGACTTGAAATTCTTCAATGCAAGGATTGTGTGCAGACATTCTCCTGGGATCTGCACACAGAGACAAAGGCAGAGGTTTGGAGATATCTAAATATATATTTAACCCATTAGTCACTTCTTGGCCTTTTAGCTAAAATCAAGTGTAGCACTTGACTAACCTATTAATTTATATCTGTTTTAGCTCCCATCATTATAAAGCAAAAACAAAAAAGAAAAATCCTGGTAATTAAAAACGTTCAAAATCCTTAGTGCCCTGACAGAAGTACGCATTTTCTTAAAGAGGTGAATGATTGGCTTTTTAAAAAACAATATATCGGCACACCTGATGAACTCACATTGGTTGACACTGAATGTACCAGACAAACATCTAAGACAAATCCTTATTCAATAAAGGTAAGTCTTTCACTTCTCATCCTGCCATGTATTCCTACACAATGATAGGACATTTTGGAGCAATCTTCTTGTCTACCACAAAGCTGCCTTGTGGAACTCCTTTTGTATAGGAGTAGTTGTCACTATTGTTGCTCCATTCAGCAACATGATTTTATGAGCAAATATAAATCAGACATTTATAGGCTGCTGAAGGGGAGGATTTATTAAGCTGAGGGTTTTCAAATCTCCATCTCAGACGTTTCACCTTCTTCCCCTCTTGGCACTAAGCTGAACATATCTGCAATTTGCATCCCTACCAGTTCCTCCCACCTGTCTCTTGGGCCTTGTTAAATATCTAGGAAGGTTCTTTCTAAAAAAGACTGTGCAGGCATTACAGCTGGCAGGAAGATCAGCCTACCTATCTCTGCTACTGCAGATCACACCTTTTTCATGACCCCTTGGCACATCCAGAATGAGAACTGCCTACTCAGCTGTATCATTTATTCTTCTTTTTCCTCTTTTCCTTCAAGGTTAACTCCTTCTTTCCACGTTCACTCTACACAGCACTGTTATGGATTCACTTTGGATAATTCAGGCAGAGGAAGGGAAAACAAATAGACACAGGTTTCATCCTTATTGCTTATTCTACTTATTGCTTCATAGATATATTGTATAATAAAACTTAAAGATTACCTAGTATATTATATCTTGAGCCTATTCTTATACCTAACTTAATCTACATTCTGGGTAGTTTTCTATAAACTTACTTATTTACAGAGTTTTCAGCATTTCTCTTAGTTTGGAAGACAGAGGTCAAATAACATACAGTCTCCACTTTTACTTTTCATTGTCAATTTCTTTAAACAGTATTTTCTTAGCCTCCTAATTCACACTATAGGAGAGTGTGCCTACCTCTTGCAGATTCCAGCTGCATGAGTCACTTGGAATACACTTTCTCTTTTATCTTGGATTGTATATTCTTTACCTGCATGGTAGCTATCCAACCTTGGCAACTTTAAGATATGTGGACTTCAACTCCCAGAAATTGGGGAATTCTGGGAGTTGAAGTCTACACATCTTAAAATTAAAATTATATATGAAAGAAGAGTTAATGCTTTCCAGTTTTCCTTCCATGAGAATTTTATTCTACAACATAGGAAATTAAACTTCATATTGGTTATCTTCATAGTTTTGAGACCATGGACATTGCTATATAGTGAGAGCAACAATTGCAGCAAGATAAGGAATGCAATGCATCAAAGAGAAGAAAGACATTAGAATTCCTCATTTCTGTTTGTAACACTTTTAGGTGTAAAAGTCAATTCCAAACTAAAAGTTATGGAGCCTCTTATGTAAACAGCTCATGGCAAACGTCCGTGTATTGAGCAAAGAAAACAAAGATTGCTGGAAAGAAAACCAGAAAGCCCTAATATATAGGAAGATATATCAGCTGTAAAATTGACAGCTGGAATTCTTGCAATGTGATTCCTTTTATTTCAATGAATCTTGCTTAAAAAGAACTCTGAGAACTTTTGGTTTTAGGCAACAGCCAAAGAACCTGACTCTGGTCAACTGACATGACTCTGGTCAACTGAAAGCAAAAAACGTGGACTAGAGATAAGGAAAACGTGCTCACCTCTTTTACTCTCTGAAGCATTGGCTGCAACCATTCACTGTTCACTTCACAGTGGCTATCCAGGAAGGTGAGAATATCAGCTGTTGCTGTTTCAGCACCTCGTACTCGGGAGCGGATTAGACCTGAAATGGAGAGGCAAGAAAATGAAGAGAAAAGAAACTAACTTATTTTAATGAATGTATCAAAGAAGAATGTTTGTAGTTCAGGGTTGAAATAAAGAAGTCCTTGGTGCTCTCTGAATTTGGTAGTTTTCTTGCTGACGTTTCATTACCCAAACTTGGTACCATCATCAGTACTAGTAGAGAGTGGGGTTTGCTCTCAGTTTATATTATAGTGGCTTCCCCTGCCAGTTCTGGTGGGAGTGGTCTCGGTGATTCTTTGGTTGGACTGTTTATTGTTAGCTTGTTTGGCAGTTTCTCGATTGAGGTATTGTTCACTTCTTGATTATTGGTCTGATGTTAATATTGATGTTGAAGTACACATATTGTAAAGTTGAAAAACACTGCTGTATACCAACATTTACTTGTTTCCATTTTACTGATCAACACAAATCATATTTTGTTTTTACATGCCTGGCTCAGTTGTTCAACTACTATGGCACTTCTGGAGATTATCGATCATTAACTAATTGTTAATTCCACTCTAGTGTAACAATAAAGCATCAATGTACTGTCTACTAAGCCAAAGCCCATTGTATATTGATGACTTACCACAAACTTCCTCCTGCTCAGTAATTTTTTTTTTCCTGGGCAACTGATTCTTTCTTAAATAATGGCTCCTTTTATGCCTACCTGAAGATATTTCTTCATATACAAAAGACCCAAGTTTATAACTACCTTAATACATAGGAAATACTCTTTCTTACTTCCTCTACACCTTACTGAATCTCCCTTCTCCTTCCTCTGGAGACCTCTGCTTGTATGTTGTATTCAGATCTTGTTCCGCCACATCATTCTCTCTATATTTCCTTTAATGTTTTCTTTTCCATAAGGCCTAGGAATTTCCCAAGACAACTGAATTCTATTGAACCTGACTGATAATAATAACTTCCTTTCTGCATTTAAATTATTTCCTTGTTTTTTATCTTCTAGTCTTTTCTTCTCATCTTTTTTAAACAACCTGACATGTTTTACAAAGGTGAAATGCAACTGTCTCTATTCACAAGACACGTTCTACTAAAGGAAGTGCTCTATAGTAATTCCTTCCCTACATATAACCCTTATTAATCTGCTCATGAGGCTTGGGGAAGCTTTGAAGGATATCAAGGGAAATGTTAATTGCTTCCACTCGAGTATAAGGAGAATCTGGATATTTAGTTAGGATTTCTTGAGAAAATTTTATTTTTCTAAAGTACTCAGGTTCCACTTCTTTTATTTCATTTGCAAAACCTTAGGAGAATATTTTAATTCCTGGTCTAAATGTTATCCATATTTGGCATCTGCATAATTTGACTCAAATAATAATAACTTTAAATCAGCTCTGCTAGATAAGACAGCAGCCTGTATTCCAGACAGATTAACAAGCCGGAATTTTACGGAGCAGCAGGTCTGTACTCTATAACTAAACTATATTCCTAACCCTCAGCTATCTTTTAAGTCTTTCAATTATGTCAGTTGTTATCTAGCAAAATTACCCGGGTTATAGCCCTTTGATTCTTTGTTATTCTATCATATTTTTTTGGATTAGCAATATGGGTTGGGAATATTAGCAAGCACTGCTTTGGGACCTTACCATGCTTACAAATGCCAGGAGAAGTTGTATGAAATTTTGGAGTAGACTGTAATTCCAATGCTGAAAACCATCAGTTAGTTCTATTTCTTGTTTTCACCTAAAAATGTTGCCGGAGTTTTGGACTCAAGTTGCAACTTGAGATTTATGAGAGAAGCATTAAAACTCCATTCAGGCAGTACCGAGAGGTTTATGCTCATGATAGTTGGTCAGTTATACAAAGTTCTGGAAATGTTCATATTACCTCCTTTTCAGTACAGCTGAGTATAATCTCTAGATCTCAACCCTCTCTTATAAAGCCCCTTTGATCTGGACTTTTCCCGTTGGCCTGACAATGAGAGTCAAAAATCTGAATGTCTCCACGTTTGTTTGTTTTTTAAGTAGATCTAGCAAAGGAGCATGCTCAGTTCAGAAGAGGTAATTCCACATTCTTTCTGCCACAAGCCTTAATTTATATTTCCATTAAGACCTCATAACAGTAATGCTTTCTGCAAACTTTCTCATGCTCACCTTCTCGACGTCCATTGCGTAGACACTTGACTTTTGGGATTCTGGTAAGTAGTTGGCAGTCTTCAGCTAAAGAAAAGGGAGGAAAATCCAGTTGGCTGAAATGCCTGGTTCATTTGGCACAGACAGAAAGCTGCAGTTAATTTGTCCCATGTTCTCAGAACAGGTCAACATTTTGTTTTCGATTTATGGTATCAATCAATCTGGTAATTCCAGGGTAAATAATTCTGTTGCTTAAAGTATCTCTGATAGGTTTCATTTAACCTGTCATCTCCTTTCCTCATGACCGAACTCTTTGACACAGTAAGGCAGACTCCATATATTATATTACAACTATGTGTAAGTATAAAAAGATGCCTAACAGCCATCATAAAGTGCTATTATCAGTAAATGAGAAGAAGATGCTTAAATCTTTCCCTTGCCAACCAATTTTCACCTGCATTTCCCTTTCATTATGGGAATGCAGTTTTTATTCCTCTGGGGTTATACTTGTAAGTTAAGAAATGTCGATGATACTATTATGCATTGTTTGATGTCAGACATCTTTGATCTGGAGTGGGCAGCTTGCTATCTGAGGGCTGCAGGTGATCCTAAATTCTCCTTACTGAAGACTTGGAGCTCATCTGACTGTTTAAAGCCGATGATACAATTTCCTACCATTTTATTAACACTTTGTCAGTCATAATATAGGCAGACTTCAAATACAACTTGCTCCCACCACAATGCAGCTCATGGCCTCTTTAAAAATGTAGCCCTAGGCCACAAAAAAATTGCCCACCTCTAGTTTAGAATACAAAATCATACTGCTTTTAAAAAATATATGTTTCACAAAGCACACCAATTCCTTAATGTGTAGAGTTCATTTGTAATGAAAAACTAATTACTGATTTATCCTTAATTCCCTTCCTTTTTTTTTCCTTCAGTCATCTCCAAGCTTAAAAAGAAGCACTCTGAAAAAGAAGGAAGAAAGAAGGGCCAGAGAAAATCAAGAGATGGAGGAAATATTTAAATTCCTGCCCCAATCTCTTATGTTGCCCTTTGTAATTGTCAGCAAGATCCCTGTGTTAGAACTTCAGTGTTTGCTTCCTCCATATAATATGTCATTCTGCCTCTTGAAATTCCTCCAAATTGAAAGAACATCAACTTGGACTGAACAAGAGAAGAGGTGCCAAAAAAGTCGAACAGCAGGATGTGCTAGCCAATCTCTATCAGTAGCTTTTTTTAAACTACAGAAACAGGTTTTCTTTACATATTTCAATTCCAGGACATCGTCTGTGAGGATTATGTAACTGATAAGAAAAGAAGAATAGAGAGTAAACCTTAATCTACCACCGTTTAGAGCTGATAAATGGGAGCAAATTAAAGAACAAAATCTGTCTGTGATTGCATGGCCAGTACTAATTAACAAGGCTTTAATTACTTGAGAAAGGAACTGAAAACAAGAAGAAGAAAGTATAGAAGGCTGGAAGAAAGTGTGAACTAGCACATAGTGTGAGAACCAGTATAGATACCATGACCCATAACAATCTAAAAAGATAGCATGCTTTCTTTTCACCATCACAGCTAGCAATAGTTTGTTTGTTTTTTTAAACAACAAAAGAAGAAACTTTGTTTGGCAAATTTACAGCTAATTCTTTTTATAAGGACTGTTTAGATTTACATGCTTTTGCTAGAGATAGATAAATGCACATAAAAAGTTATAGGGAAATGGAAAGAGAGAGATATCAGTTTATTTTATTTTCCCTTTTTGCCAAGAAATGGGATTTGAAAGGATATTGTTGCTCCAGAACCTGAAGAAACCTAAGATTTGGCACTGACTGATGGTTTTTGCACTCTTTTGTTGGTCAAACGGAGAGAGAGTGAAAGAGAATGCACACACTGAGTGGCTCATGTTGTCTCTGTTCTGTTTTCCAAAGACTGCAGAAATGAAAGTAATCACAAATTTTAAAATAGCTTAGAGGGATTGTGGAGCAGAATCGGTGTTATCTGTCAGTGTCTTAGACACACGTTTTTATTTGTAAAGGACAATGAAGCATCAGGTAAGTGATTATTGAGTAATCCGAGGTAATATTCTACATCCCAATACACAATGTGCACAATAGAATTGGGAGATAACTCTTAACATCATGGATTAGCTTTTTTTAGTTTCATTCTAAATTCACTGGGTTATTCTTTTGTCTCCCTTTCATTTGGCTCAATCTGAATTACTCTATGAAGCTAGGATATTGGAAATGAGACAGACTCACTATCATAAAGAATGAATTCAGCATTGTGTATGTTTGTCTCTGGATCAAGAAATATCAGATGAATCTTGTTTCCTCATGTTGATCGCTCGTAATCCCCCAGCACTAGCCATAGATACATGTTCTGTTCTTTTCTATATTTTGTTAAACTGTTGATATCATCTCTGTACAACCTTGATATCCTGGAAAAGTATAAAGGCCACCAGCCAAGTATTTTACTTGGCAACCATCTCCTGGATCAATTCCATTTATACAGTTCCCACTATCTGAAATGTTGTCCCAATGAGTATGTTGTTCTCAACAGTGTTCAGCTGAGATCCCTCTTCCTTGATATCCTAACAATTCTTGAAGAACATATGTTGAAAGGCAGCAGAGAAGGTGAAAAATCGGAAGGCTTGTTCAGTATCTGTTTAGATAAGATGCTTTATAAATAATGACATCATTTATCCAGTGACTACTGTATATCTGAAACAATGAGACATCCCTGGATGGTAAACAATGCAGCAACATGCAACAAGAAAATTAGAATTTGAGATAAGAAATCTGATGAGACGTTTTCTGACATTCTATAATAAATGAGGGAAGTGACAACATTTCTTCAAGCCTCTTGAGAAATACCTTGTTTTATCATACATACATTCTTTACTACTAAAGAAGTTTTTTAAAAAGACGTGATTTAAAATGTGAAGTCCAAAGTGAGAGAAAACAGATTCTTGCCATGACTTTTCACATGAGAAAGAAAAATGGATTAGAGGTGCGAGGCAGCAGTGTTTTTGCTGCTGAGTATCTCGTTCTGTCTTTACAATTGAATTCAAGAGTGATGCAGGATAGATACCCTCAGCTATCTACTTATTGCTACCTCGTGATTTGTAAAGGAATTGAACCATGTGAATTGAATATATCTATTTTGTATTTACATTATATAGTAAACTGTTCTTCATCTAGACACTCTCAGGCAAATACACAAATTTTTAAACTGGATTTCTTTTGATTTTACCTTTTAATCCCAAATTGTTAGCCTTGTCTGGCTCCCAAACCACTGATGACATACCATGCATATTCCAAAATATTGGCTATGCATCTCTTTTAATTTAATTTCATTTTAAGTTTGTGAAATTAACAGATGGAAATAAAACATATCATGGTGATAATACAATAAAAAAGAATGATAATAAGATGAAAAAAACAAAAAAGGAGGAAAAAAGAAAAAAAATTCTGTATAACAAAGTCCAACCTCTTTAAGATGGTATTAAACCTAAACCATATCAAAGCATAATGCCCAGGGGTGGGATTCAGCCGGTTCAGACCAGTTCAGGCGAATTGGATGCTAATTTTACATCTGGTTCACCGAACTGGTAATTGCAAGGACTGGCTGGCCCCGCCCCACCCACCCTGCCCCTCCCAGGAGTGTCCACGTGGCTTATTTTGGATGCCAGGTAAGTGCACTGCTTGCATGGAGACTCTGGGAGGGCGAAAAAAGGGCCTCCCAGAAGTTCTGGAAGTCTGGAAACCAGCCCATTTTTGGCCTTTGGAGGGCCTCTGGAGTCTGGGGGAGGCGTTATCGCCCACCCAGAGGCTTGAGGAAAGCCTCCGGAGATAGGGGAGGGCAAAAATGCCCCCCCCGCCATGGTGCAGGAGGCCGAATAGGCCACGCCCACCATGGCCACGTCCACCCAGCAACCGGGCAGAAAACCAGTTGCTAAATTTTTGAATCCCACCCTTGATAATGCCCCATCTTCTGCTTTCTATGATTTAAAGGCATTTCAAAGATTAATGAAGAACACATTTCTTGAATCCTTTTTAACATCCGAAGTATTACTTTCTTCTCACCTACATAAAAGAATTCTTAAGCTCATAACCTTTTCACAGTGGTAGCCTTAACTTTCCATAGTTCTTCAGATCAGTGAGCTCCCAGGTCTTACACACAGCAACCATACCACAATGTGTTATTAAACCAGGCACGGAGATATTTAATAATAGGGCAAGCCAGTCTCCACTCCCATTTGAAATTGTTAAGATATTACTATATGGAAAGGGAGCATTTATTTCATTCCATCCCTGAAATTCGAAGGAATTCCCAAAGAGAATTGCCTTTTCTACTAAAATATTATTTTAATAAGAAGAAAAGCTTACAATACAACTTTTGCTTTCACAATTATTAAGGGTTTGGTGGTGGGTAATTTTCATCCAAAAATACAATAGAGGAGGAATGAGTTAATGTTCTTTATCATGAGGGGATTGGGATAAGCTGACCCTGGGATTCTAACAAAAATAATCATGCTCCCTGCCCCAAGCTGCTATTTGAGTTTTTTTTTTTTTTAATTACAGATGCAATTGTTTATGGTATCTTCAATGTCTCACTGAATTTGGTTCTCAAAATAGTTTTCATCAGCTGAGGTTCCAAATTATTTTAGCTACATATTCTAGTATTTAGGGGGAAACCACTAAAATGTCCATCTGCAATGCGGGAGTAAGCAGTATGCTCTTGCTCAAGGTTCCTGGTGGAAGGATAATGAATTTTGCAATAGAATTCTACTTTATTGCTCTGGGATAATTCTGCTCTATAAAAACCACAGCAAGAACAACTCTCATCTACAAGAAGTACAATATAGCATGCATTATCTTCTTTGTCTTAAGCTTATGTAATTGGGAATTCTAGCTGTGCACGCTACTTGCTATCCTTATGATTATGGCTCTCAATTGATAGTTAATGAAATCTAATAGAACCGTCTAACTTTATGGTTAGGATTGTCTCCCTGAAAAGGTATGGGAAAATGCCATTTTTTCTTTTCCTTTTTTCTTACACAGCTGTCCCCCCCTCCCCAAAACAAGAAAAATTTTACTTCTTCCCCAATTAGTTCTTTCTTCCCCCCCAAATAAAAATGAGATGAAACATCAGGAAGGAAGGGAGGAGGGAGGGAGGGAGGGAGGGAGGGAGGGAAGGAAGGAAGGAAGGAAGGAAGGAAGGAAGGAAGGAAGGAAGGAGAGTAAACATAACATAAAGAAAACATAACATAAAGAAAAAAAAGTAAAAAAGTAATACTTACGATCCAAGCTGAAATCATCCACTAAAATTATTTCCTGAATCAAGTTTGCAGGAGTGCGATTTAGAACACTGTAAAAATAATAAAAAATCAGCAATAACCAAATAAAGCATTAATTGAAAGTAGTTTTCCATACAGTGACTGGCCTCAGTTTACCACTAAGATTTTCTTCCCAAAAATGTTATTTCCAAAACACAGTAAGAGTCAAAAATGGCAACCTAGATGAGACAGTTTAGATAGCCTGGATGCTATGTACAGTACTGTTTTAAATGCCTGTCTTTAAATTTATATTTGTTACATTCCTGAAATAAAATCTTAGGTAAACAATTAAAAACTAGCTTTTAGGAAATCTGGTGTGAACTCTGCCTATGAAAAAGTTAGGCACCAAAGAGCTTTTTCTATCCAGAAATCTGGGAGTGGAATTAAAGCCTGTGGCACATGCTCCACTTTATACCTAATTTTTGTTTAATAGGGGGAATTAAATGAAAAAGAAAGAGGGAGATCTGTGAGTAGTGGTTGTAAAATAGATGTATAGAAAAGGAAATCCATTTAGTTACCCATGCATTCATCATGCTAATGTACTACGCTGTAATTCAGTGTAAATAGCAGCCTTGGTGTCACATTCCATTTCTTAACTCAAATTATTGCTTTTTATCACATTATTACTTTCCAGTAACTTGTACCCTATCTAGATTATTTCCAATAGGCTTGCATGCTAGTTAAGAATTCTCTGACATTAAAAGAATACGGAGTTGGCTAGATTTATCTACACTGCTACTTATTTTATTCCAGACCCCGCTAGCACAGTCTTTCCATTTGCCAGATATGTTGGGTTGCAATTCCCATTATCTTTAGTTTATATGGCCATTGCTATTTCATCTAGCACAATGAGAGTTATAGTCGATCCAGAGGCATTCACCAGGAGGGTAATAAAAAAAAAAAAATCAAACGTAGCCCATGATGTAAAACACTATTGAAGAGAACCAAATTGGAGAAACTCTAAAGATACTCTAGCATCTTTAGTTCTGGTAATAATCCTTTGTGTAATCCTTACAAACTTCATCTTGTTTGTCTATATCCTGATATCATCTCCTCAATCGTATATACTACTAAAACTCTCATTGTCATGACCTTTAATTGGGTGAAATGGTACATCATGGGATAACAACCAAGGTACCTCAAATGGGCTAACTTACAAAATGGGTTCAAAATCCAGGACTCGTGACTCCTGAAGGGATGAAATTTGGCAATATTACACACTGTTTGGTTTGGTGGTAGAAGTGCCTCAGATAGAAAGTCCATACAGAGAGAGGTAAGGACAGCCGAGATGATTATAAAAAGCTCACTTCCCATTACTCAGGATACTGCTTGTAAGCACTATGTGCTTAGAGCTCAAAGCTTTGTTAGAGACCACACACACTCTGGGAGGAGGTTTCAAGGTATTTCAAGGCAGGATTCTGATTCTGTAACAGCTTTGTCCCCTATGCCATCTGTCTGGTAAACATGCAAGATTCGTTTTTCTCGCCATGTATATATATACATCCGAACTAGACTATGTTGTTTCTTTGTGTCATATAATATATGCGGGTATATGCATATTTATTTGTTTATTTGTTTTTGTTTGTTTGTTTGTTGTGTTATGTTTATGTAGTGTATATTGGAGGTGGTAACTCTGAGAGCTGTATGCAACGAGATTTCATTTTGATGTATGCTGATTAGTGTACATTTAAAGTTACAATAAATTTACTCTAAGTTTAAGTGCATTTAAACAATGCATTAAAGACCAGAAAGTCCAACAGGACCTGTCTGCTCCACCAAGAATGTTTTCTTGAGTAGTCAGAGACCCCACAAACAAGCAAGATGTTTATATTCTATAACTGCTTCTAAATTTTGAAGGGTATTAACTATTAATTAACTCTAGCACATTGTAATGCTTTCCCCACAGCAGTTCTGGAGGATCGATGCTAATAATAATAACAATAATAATAATCCCATAAAACTGAGATTGTGCCCCTATGGACAAGAAGCCCATTGAAACTTCAGCTCATATCCATGTTATGTTGTACCCTCTATGGACTCATGGACTCATTTTTATCACCAGGTCTGGTAAAATATCTGGAATATTCTAATCTTTTTTATGTACAGCTATTACTATCTGATCAGTATGATAGTTTCTTGAACAAAAGCTAAATTCTGTTATATTGTCTATAAAATTAGACTGGCCATCGATGATCTCACCACAAACTGTAATATATGACTATGTCTTGTTCTGTTCTGTTTTATTTTCATGTTTTAATTTTTAATCTGGTCTGTGACTGTAATAGAAGATTGGTTGATTGATTGATATCTTGTTACCACCTTGGCAGCCATCTTATGTACAGCAAACAGGAAAAGGAGTGAACAGTCATGACGGATAACTGTGGGGTGAAGAAATCAATTCAATAAACCAGGTCTTGACTGATAACAAACATCATCAGGGCACACTAAAATGAATATCTCATCAAATTTTAACATGACCTCAAGAGCTTTCAGTCTTAGCCTTGACCTATCTATAGAACAAATCCAGTTTGTTGAAGCCATGTAGAACAGCCCAGTTGACATACAAACACATTATACAGGAAATCCTGAGGTTGCCATGTTTACTTACATGTTTCTAGCTTTCACCCAGAACATGCTATCCAAACCATCGTCTGTAGCAAGACTTTCAACTACCACTATATTTGTTCTGACTCATTTCACAAAGAGGCTCAACTAATGGAATTAGTTTTAACATTAATTAATTAGATTTAATTAGGAAACAGGCATTCAAGAGACAAATTAATAGAACCAGATTGATTTTTAGAGATTACTTACTTAAAAACAGACCACAAAAGCAGAATGACAGAACAAAATTGGATGCCACCTACAGCTTACAGCTCAAACTATTCAAATGCATTATTAATAAGCAGTAGCGCCTATATACTGGACACTGTACTTTTTTAGGCATTAAGTGAGAACCTGCATATAGTCAACACCCAACCTAAGGCAGATTCTCATGAACAACATGGAATAACAGGAGAAAGAGGCTAATGTGGAACCAGACCAGGGGTGAAATCCAGCAGGTTCTGACAGGCTCTGGAGAACTGGTAGCAGAAATTTTGAGCCGTTTGGAGAACCGGCAGCCAAAATTTTGAGTAGTTCGGAGAACTGGCAAATACCACCTCTGGCTGGCCTCAGAGTAGGGTGGGAATAGAGATTTTGCAGTATCCTTCCCCTGGAGTGGGGTGGGAATGGAGATTTTGCAGTATCCTTCACCTGCCACGCCCACCAAGACACACCCACCAAGACACACCATGCCCACCAAGATACACCCACAGAACCGGTAGTAAAAAAATTTGGACTTCACCACTGAACCAGACCAGATGTCTACTTCCATATATAATGGATTTTACATGGGGGATAGCTTTGTTTCCAAGTAATAATAAATTCGATTTTGACTTCAGAACTCAAAATAAGGATGAAGATCAGAGCATTTCAGCCTCCAGGACATTTCATTGGGTATCACAAAGCAACCATTTTGGAAAAAAGAAAGAAGAATTTTAACAGCACTGAGTGAAAGTTTGCTGAACTTGCATATATTAAAAAAAAATCAACAAGCACAATGGGTTTTAAACACATTGTTATTTCATAAAATACCTGTAATCTGTTTCACAAGTACCTGTATCTACATATCCAACCCCTCTTCCTTCTCCCATAACTTCATCTCAATTGAAATACTATCGCAGTTTAGCCACCCCGTGCAATTGAAGTAGTGAGCTTTTATTAAAGCTTATGCCTTTAAATAAACTATGTTAGTTGGTGCTATCAGAATCCTTTTCACCCCAGAAGGAAACAAAAAATGCCAGCAGGAAAATAGCTTCTGGCATAGATGTTTCCTTGCCCCTTGATAAGAGCTTGTGATAACACTGTGTGTGAACTGAAAATAATTCACACACAAGTAGGGTACATCTACTTTCACTTTATAAGGTGATTTTTAGCTATGGAGTATTACAGAGATGTAATATATTAATAAAAATAAATTAAAGTTTCCAGACATCTATTGCCCTCTAGCCATGTGGTGCATTTGGTCACAGTGGTCAATGGCATGACAATCGTTTTCATGGCTAGTTCCCAATTACCAATAAATTACCACTTTCCTTCAGGGTTCCCTGCCAGACATGGGATTCCTTTGAATATCTCTTTCCTGAAATTATGCTCTGAAGAGAGAAATGCATTGTTTCTTACATGCCCCTTGGAATAGGCAATGGCCTGGTTATTTATTATTATTATTATTATTATCTGATTTGCTAATCCCCCCCTCCAATTAAACTGCACTCCCCAGTTTGGCTCAGCCTTTGCACAGTCTCTGTACTCTTGCCAAAAAATGAGACAAAACAGCTGTTTGCAGCAAGCACTCCCTTTTGTAATAAAGGTGGCATCTGGTGATCTGGAATGAGCCTGAGAAGCATGTCTGGTTGATTTGAAAAGGGGTAGAGAAGTGAGTGGCTTTAGGGAATATAATAATATTACAGTGCGGTCGACTCTCTCAAACTGATACGCTTCTATGAGGTTGTGCAAACATAAAACCCCTCACCTTCCTTTTCTCAGCTGCAGAGCTGATTGTTGGGGTCTTATAAAATAATGACAGATCTAGTAAGAGGATGTCTGAACAAACCATCATCCTTCTGTGTTTAGAAGTTGTTCAAAGAACCCCTTAATCGTTCAGTGGTTCTCTCTAATTCAATATCTTACTTTCTCTCAATCTATTTTACTTTATCCCAAACAATCCCTGCACAATGGCGGCTCCCTTTCTTTCCCTACTTCCAGCCCTCCTTTACATTTCAGTGTGACTTCACTTTTCCAACATTCTCCCTTTTAGACATACTGTGTGAGATACAGATATACTGTGTATTTTTAGATAACGACATACACTAGCAAAGCAAACCCTTCTACCCCTTATTCCTTCATTTAAAAATCCTTTTCATCTTCCATGTTTCCCCCCAAGCATGTAACTTTCTTTTTTTATTTTCTATTCCCAAACTAGGTTGTTATG